ATAGAATGGGCAATTGTCTAATGGACCAAGCAATTCCTGAAATAGTTACGTGATGGTATTGGGGGTGAGGACTGTTTCATTATGTTCATCCCAGTGGACTTTTACCCAAACCCTCCCCGGACAGGCTCCATTGTGGGCATGAGGATGCAAGCCTGTGAGCACAGAGCCAGAGAAAGACAGGGCTCTGCTGTCAGTGAGGAGACCGTGTGTGAACCAGGTGCTGGGAGCGTCCAGTGGGGACACATGAGGCTCCCGTGTTCCTCGGGACATGATTATAGAGAGGAGGTGCCCTGGGCCCAGATTTTAAAAAGCACTCGCTTCGGTTTTGATGCAGTTTGTCCTAATAATTGTCCTACGAACCTTGAGAAGCTGCTGGGTCTCGGCGGGAGGAGAGCTTGGCTGCAGAGCCCTGCAGGAATCTCAGGATGGCGGCCGGGCCCTTCTGCACAATGACCTGAGGTGGGAACTCCAGGGGGCAGTGCCTCAGGTTCAGTGCCCTCAGCGTCGTCACGTTCCCTGACGGAGAGGAAGAACCATCAGCATGTTACACACTCTCCTGTGCAATGGAGACAGGAGATGACAGTTACTTTTGCACATTAGGAAAAAGAGGTCCTGTTGAGAATTCTGGGTAAATTATATGACAGGCGTCTGAAATTTGCTTTAAAAAAAAAAAAACCCTGCAGGGGGGACAGATTCCACAGATTAAGACCAGTCTAATTACAAAATAAAATAAAATAAACAAACAGAAGCAACAACAGCAGCCCTCTAGTAAAAATCACCAAAAGCTGCTATAATATATTATCCAAAATGCCTATCTTCAACAATACCAAAAACTATAAGGAAAGTAAAATATGGCACATACTCAGGAAACAAGCAGCCAAGAGAGACTGTCTTCGAGCAGGCTCAGATGCTGGATGTAGCATACAAAAACATCAAAGCAGTTGTTATAAACATGTTCAAAGAAATGAAAAAAAAACCCAACTTAAATAATTAAAGGAAAATATAGTAAACTGTCTCAACAAATATAGAATGTCAACAAAAATAGAATTATTAAATAACCAAACAGCAGTTTTAGACTTAAAAATTGCAAAGACTGAAATAAAAAATTCACTGGCCTCAAGATGACAAAATGGCAAAAGCAAATACAAGACGACAAAAGAAACACGTCAACTGAAAGATGGAGAGATAATATGTATGCAAGCTGAGGTCCAAGAGAAAAAAGATTCAAACCACAACAGAACTCAGAGACCCATAGAACATCAAGAATGTTAATATACATGTGACAACGGTCATAGGAGGAGTAAAAGAGAGGGTTAGAAAAAAATCTGAACAAACCATGGCCAACACAGCTCTAATTTGATGATAAACATTAATGTATATATCTAAGAAGCTTAACAAATCCCAAGTAATATAAACCACAAGGATTCACACTGAGAAACATCACAAACTACCGAGAGACAGAGAAATATTATTGAAAACATCCATGGAAAGACAACTCAGCACCTACAAGGGAACAGCAACTATAAGATCAAGAGCGGACTTCCTGGAGAAAGCAGTGGTGGCCTAAGCACAGGGGAGCAGGTGTCCACAGTGCTGTCAATCAAGGGCTCTGGGTCTGGCAAACTCTCCTTCAAAAAGGCAGATGAAGATATTCCCAAACTGATGCAGGTAGAAATAGATCATCTGAATCAATCTATAACAATTAAGAAAATGAATTAGTAATTTAAAATCCACCCCCCAACACACACACACACACACACACACAATCTCAAGTCTAGTTGCAAACCATTGAATGGAACAGATGAGTTTAACAGCAGACTAGACTCACCAGAAGACCTAGAACTCAAGGCAGGTCAATCCTATATAATAAAAAGCTAATATGCAAATTGTCCCCTCGGTCGGGAGTTGGCCCAGGTGCGGGGGCTGGCCAACCACCTGCGTCCCCTTCCCCTGGCTGGCCCAGCCCTATTGGCCCCGATCGGGGCAGACCAGCCAGACCCCACCTGTGCACGAATTCATGCACTGGGCCTCGAGTGGAAAACAACAGAAAATGGAACACAGAGAGAAAAAAAAGAATCGGGGAGAAAGGGAGCATTCAAGGCCCATGGGACAGAATCAGAATCTAAACTTGTGTAACTGGAGTCCCAGGAAGAGAGGAAATGAGAATGAGAAAGAAGCAACGCTCCAGGTAAAAGGCAGAGACCATCAGACTGGACAGAAGAGCGGCACCCAACCACACCGGCCTGCGGCTGACAACGCAGAGGCTGAAGTCAAAACTGGGAAGGTAGGTGCATGCGCGCGTGAGGGTGGCCAGGAGGAGGCTGAAGTGAATGCACTCACACACTCTGAGCCAATGAGCACGGGAACATGCATGTGAAACCACAGGGCTAGCGCTCCACACAAACCAGAGCGCCAAAAGCAACAAGAAAATATAAAAATCCCAAAATTTCTATCCATCCAATAACATCGTATCAAAATACAAAGAAGCAGAAGTTGGTGGATCTGAAAGGAAAGGTTTCATCGCCCCTCACGCTAGGCTGCGGGTCACTCTTTAGGTGTAGAAATCGCGCAGGCGCTGGCAGCTTTTGGGAGCCCGAGGACAGAGGCAGAGGGCGTGAGCCACACGTGGGCCTCCCCTCGGGGCCATGCCTGGCGCCACTGCAGGTTGCAGCAACCTCACTAGACTGTATTCTAAAACCACCTTTTATTTGGTTGGTTGAGTACTTACCCAGCTGCACAGGTAACATTTTGATAGGATTTCTTTCTAAAAGCAAAGTTTTCAAATACCTTTAAAACAAAACAGAACATATATTATTTAAAAGCAGAAAGTCGAGTAACTGTCCCTAAATGATACCGCTCATTTGTCTTCTCTTTAAGGCAGCAATGCCACAGAGCCACAGAGTGACCACAGGCGTGGTCACCTGTCCCAGCATCGGACCGAGCTCTCGCCCGGCACTGCTGACCTCAGGGCCAGGCAGTGCTTGGCTGGGGAACGGTCCTGTGCCTGAGGGTGTTTATAGCAGCATCTAGGCCTGTCCCCACAGGATGCCAGTAAACCACCCTCCATCCCGTGACAACCACAAAACCTGCAGACATTGCCAATTGTGCGCAGGGAGAGGCAAATTCTCCTGGCTGAGAACCAGTGCCCGGCTGTGGGTACCCGGTGACACACGCACCACACGGGGGTGCCTGAGGTGTGTGTGATGCACCCCTGCATTTTCAGGTGCTCTGTGCAAATGTTCTCCATGGTCAAGAGTGTGCTGCCTGGCATGTCTGCCCTGCTTATGGATGGTGATTCACATACTCGTGGCCAGAGAAGTCCCCAAGCAAGGATACCTGGTTTTGGGGCAGTTTCTCCCCATATTTGACACCTGTTAGCATGACTTGTAAAATTTAGCACAAAAGAGACCGCAGGCAGAGAGGATGGCTGGAGGGCCCCAACAGAAATGACTGGCTGCATGCCTGCTGGGGAGTCACCAGTTCATGCTACCTCGGCCCCTCTGGCTCCACCTGAATGAAGACCGTGTCGTATATTAACGGCAGTTTCCCTTCCTCCTTCCCTTCTCAGGGGTCCCCAGCTGAAATCTGGTGTGAAAGGACCACAAATACTCTGGCTCGTCAGTGGCTTCAGCCC